TTGGACCTGTATCTTTAAAGCAGAAATCCTCGTTATAGACTGCCATGCCACCCCCTGGAATGCTTTCTACGATGCAAACTGGTCAGCCCCCAGTGTTAGTGCAGTGGCAAGGACCTCCTGGACAGCAAGCAACGTACCAGGTTAGATTAAGTTTTTTCGCCCTATAAATCCCGCTTTAGCTGTTATTGAGGTTCAAATTTAGATTCCCCCCAGTTATCAGTATGTGGTTACTGGCGGACAGGCTGTGAGTATGATGCCCAGTCAGACAATGACAATGGGCGCGCGAACGGGTGGCCCTCCGGCAGTTGCATTCCAGGGAGGTCGACGGCAGGGTAGGAAGATTTATGGAAAAAATAGAGTCTTCATTGATGTTTGCATGTTCAGTCATGGTTCCACCACATACAGCAGCTCAGTGGCCACCTCATGTGATGCAAGTTGGCCAAGGCATGGTGTGTATTTAGCTGCTAAGCAGATCACCATAAACCGTCATTAAAGAGTTTAGACGTACCTTCAGGTCCCAACCTACGCCTACCAATCCTTCCCCGTACAAGCCGGTGCATCCGGAGGTGGAAGTGCTGGTGTTGTGCCACCACCTCAAGGTGGCTTCCCTGGTACACAAGCTCCACCTCCACAAATGATGGCCGGTACTCCTCAAGCGGGTGCTCCTCCGCCGGGTATTTATCAACAACGATTTGTTCCTGCCCAGGTAGACTGACTAGCAAGTTTCACTGAGCACCACTGCATTATGTCTCTAGGGTTATGTGCTGCCGCCATCCGGAATTCAAGGACAAACTCGGTTCCCGACACCGCAGCAAACGCCGCATCAGGGAATGGAGGCAGCACATTTCCAAGGTTAGTTTGAGAACATCTTGTAGTAAACCCGTTCTTGACTGCGCTTTTGATTGGCAAAATGGAAGGTTTTTCTACTTTTGTGCTGAGAGATTTTCTTTCAAATCATTTTGAAGGGATGCAAGCTTTCGATTTACACTGCAGTAGAAGTCGCATTTCTGAATTATAAATGTAGTGCCTAGACTTCAAGGGGAGGGCATAGAAAGGGCGTGGAACGAAGGAAGAGGATCGAAATTGAAGAAAAAAGGAGATCGTGCCGTCGCAGACTTGATATGAATCTGCTCCCTTCCA